AAATCTGTTCTTTAATACATCTTTCTTTGTCTACTATCTGAGTTACTCGTTCGTTGCCGAGATTTTTTACAAATCGTTAGTAGACGGCGCGCAAGCCGACTCAATGCCGAGAGTTTCGTAAACAAACCCATTTGTAATCTATAAAACCAATTTACTGCAGGAAAAAAAAATAAACATGTTATTTCCCGGCTTACGGTCGGTCCGTACGGTGAAAAACTGTGACCTCGGGCTTGAAAATGCTGCCCTCGGCCTGCGGCCTCGGGCAGCATTTTCAAGACCTCGGTCACAGTTTTTCACCATACGGACCGACCGTAAGTCGGCAAATAACATATATGTCTTTCCTATTCACGCCTGTTTCCAGGATGTTTGCATAATTAGCCACGTTCTGAACAAGCAAGAGACTGGATACCAATATTTAATATCGATTGATTTTAAAAACCTGACCATGGCACCTAAAAGATCATCTAAAAGTTAGGACTTTTACTAAATTTGAGTGATTTTGGTTCAAAAACAAAGACATAATACACTTTTAAATAGCTGGGATTCAAGAGAGCTCCCTCCAAGTTTTCAGAAGCGTATTGCGTCCTTCCAAACCATACAAAGCTCTCTTAAATCACAGCTCAAATGTGTATTACATCATTGTATTATATTTTACAATTCTTTCAAAATTGAGTGATCCCTTAGGCGAGTGCAATTTAAAAGAGTTTCCTAATATCACGAGAGTAGTCATATCGTCTTAAAATTAGTAGTAGAGAAGGGACTGAATTATCCGTTTTAGTGTCAAGCTAGGTCGAGCTAGGTCGAGTTAAATCATTAATATGTATAAGGATTAGGTCGAGCTGGAGGTCGAGCCAGGTCGAGTAATATTAACATGTATAATTAAGGGTCAGGTGTAGCTATAGGCATACTAATAAAGTGTCGTCCTCCATTCTAATGAGCGTCACTTCTTTCACAATGAGAAAAAGCTTGCTCAGGTTCGCCCTATTAGAATGTGATTCCTACTTACGCCGATATTACACATATGCCACAGGTTTACCTAGTCGTATGATCTGCACACGTTACTATCAGCCCTTGCTGGCTGCTTGTAAGACCTGGGCACTCCAAAACTGTCGCGATTTCTCTCCTCACGAACAAATGTTTCTATCATAATATTCTCGGAGTAGAAGTAGTAGCTGCTGGTGTCACGCCGGGGTTTTGGGCCTGTTTCGAAAATTTACATGGCCCTAGGCCACTCGTGTGACACAGAACATGTTAGTAATCTCAGAGACACTCTCCGTAAATTAGTGTCGACAGTCCGTCTCTCACAGTCTATAATTCACGTTTTATATGGGAAAACGGTCTATATTTTACGGGCAACGGATGTGCTCACAACCAAACTAAACCGACTTTTCCAGGATATCAGAGATATCGACAAAACATTTTCTTTTTGGCAGACCAAATTAAACCAATTTGCGGCCGAAAACCAATGTCACGAATCTCTCTTACTAGAATTTCTTTCTAAACATTCCAATTCCGTGAACCGAGCATTTGCGTCACTTTTAAGGCTTACGGAAATGCAGGACGTTTTGCATCATTTTTCCACGGTAGAAACGAAAACTGTTTTTGGTTTTCCCCACCTCCCACCTTTCCTCCATCCTCAAATTACATCACGTTTGCCTACTGAACCGTCCATGTCATTTACTTCTCTAGTCTTGCGCGAGGGTTTTCCACTCTTTGTCAACCCGATGGTTGACATTGAGCATGTAGGGAATCAAATAGAAGCAAGCATTCTTTTGACAATTCCAGTCATTTCTGATTTAACTGGGTTTTGTACCCTCGAATATCTGACCCCCATCAAATTTCAATCCGCGGATACTTGTTACTCGGGCCCAGTTACAAAATCAAATCTCGTGCTTATAACTTGTCCAGATTCAAAACGAATTGTAACAACGGAGGCGCTTAACAAATGTTACCAAGACACATCAGTTATATGCCCAACTAATGTATTAACAGTAGCCACTAGCATTTCTTGGCTTGGTTTCCCTTTTAATTTTGACGTTAAACTCACCTGCCCGCGACATCACGTGATTCCTAACCACTGCTCCAATCTGCATCCACTCCTCCACCTTGGCGGACGTACGTACCTTGCGACTACAGCTATCGCTCTACCTTTGTCTTCCGGAACTTTAATGACCTCACCGCTGTCAATATACGCTATTCCCTGCAACATCTCGTTAACTGGTATGGCAACAGGCATTGGTCGCAGCCCTGACCACCTCCGTGTTTCTATTCCTCTCGCTACGACATCTTCAGTACATTTCATACCATGGGCAGTTGCAGTACACAATCTCAGTGAACCTACTTTTGATCATCCACGTTTTGCGATACCGGCACCCGAACAGCTAAATCAAACAGTGCTGGCGGATCTTGATACAACTTTCACAGCCCTTGATGGTCAGCTCTCCACTTCCCTCGCTGACGATATTCACAGTATTAACAGTATTCACGATAACTCCTCAATGGGTCTTCCTGGCTATCTCTCTGGCTTTGCTTTAGCCTTCAATGTTATAAACTGCATTGGCGTCTTTGCACTAACGATTTTTTTATCGTCACAGCTATGTAAATCGAGTGGGCCGCCCCACAGCAGGAGAACGCTGTAGACGTAGCCGCCTTACCAGCGGAAAACGAACGCCTTGCCCTGACCGTTCAGCAACCAGGGATGAGTGTGACAATCTTCACGCGCAAGGCGTTCAAGGAGCTACAGACGCATAGCATGTTTCTACACAAATGGAAGCTTTACAACGTACAATGTCACTTTTGTCAGCGCCCTCACACGGCACCAGAACTGTTTTCCAGAGACTGTCATGTCTCATCCCCAGCAAGAAACCCTGCAACTACTCTTGGATGGCGACCTCTGGTTCACCTGGACCTGCGACCACCGACAACACGAGGTCTTTTCCATATGCCGTTATTTTCTTACTAACCAAGACTACATATTCCCGACGTTCTACCGTTCCCTACACTCGACCTACACAAGGGACGACGCTTATGGATATCTGGAACTCATATACGAAATGGCAGAGGCAGAATACGACGTTCTTGCGT